GTCAAACATTATTCTCCAACAATTAAAATACTCAAATTGGCCAATTAATTTTTCTGCGTTTGAAAATGCAGTGATCAATTAGCCATTCCAGAACGCCCAGACTATATGCGATTGACAAAAGCTGATAAATTAATTCTCTGCTGCAAATAGCGAAAGGACATTTCCATTCGGCAAGTAAAGTTAGATTTATGCCCGAGCCGGTTCGGTAGGTATGTGAACCAAATAAAGTAAAATTAGTCGAGTAACTGAACCCCATCAACTGAAATGGCATAGGATAAAAAACCTACTGAGCTTAAACTGGATATATGGACCAAGCGGCCAGTTATCGGATACAACGATTTCCCTCGAGATTTACCGCTGGATATCAACCGAACAGTAAATAACACTGTTTCAGAAAATACAAATTAAAAAACAGAGCTTTTTAGTTTTCTTGTCAACTGCATAATAAATCAAGTACTTCTCCTAAAACTGCAAGTTATTATGACTTAAATCATAGCAAAGTGAATTAAGCAATTTGCACAATAAATTAGGCGTTACAACATTTTTTTAATTGTTCTTAAGAAGTAACACTGCCAATTGAGACGCCTAATTCTTCAAACTCTTCTTCGGTAACTTTACATTTCCATTATTTTAGGTTACTTTTTATTACCTTATATATTATTATCTTATATCTGTTCTGAAGGTATATTAACCTTCAGATATACTCATATCCAGATTATACTATATTAGTAAGTTATTTATTTTTATTAGTATATATTTCACAACACATTATGGTAAAATTTCGCTTACGAAACTTGCAACTTTCAATTATTTTGTAGGATATTTTTAGTCAATGAGTTAGTTTGGGTTAGTTTTTGTTCTCCAGGATTTATTGTTCCGAAGCTATCCTTATTTTCGAGTGTTAATCATCAGAGTTCCAAGTTTATTTTTCAACATTTGAGTTTAACTAAAAACCGATACATTTTGGAAAATATTATTTATTATTTTAAGTGCATTTATTTAACTAAATTCTTCCATGAGCAAATTAACCAAATGCCTGAAGTGGGAACTATTTGATTTTATCGCTTTTTTGGTATTCAATTAAACATGTTTCATAAAAGTAACCAAATGGAAACTTCACGGTTCATCTCCTTCTATCATGCCATTATTAAAATACAAGGTGTTTCATGGGAAAAGGGCATTAGTTTAATGCCCTCATGCATTCTACTTATGAAAATAAGTCCAGTTTGCTTCATAAATGACAATTTACAGGATGTTGAAATTTAATGCGAATTTACAGGATGTTGAAATTTAATTTGGAGATGTTTCAACGAAACTTTAAAGAAATCAATAGCTAGAAAGAAGGAATGTTTTATAAATCCTTAAATTTATGTGTCGCGTTTAATTCTCATTACCCTATCTATATACCTACGGTATAACTGAGTTGAAAAACACCCTTCAAATTTATGCCCTAATATAAGGGTTCGTTAACTTCTATTAGTCAGATTATAATACGCAGTATAGTTCTTATTTATTATGCCATGAAAATACCTTCTCTAAATATAGCATCGCGCATATCTTGTTAATTGAATTAGTAACATAAAAGACAAATTTCAAGGCAGGTCCCATACTCCAAATTTCCACTGTAATGTAAATTGATCGCTAAAGCAAATTTTAGCAATGCAGAACTTTTTAACTAATAAGTAAATTAAAAGCAATTGCAGGCAAATAACGAACAAAATAAGACCAAAGGAGAACAAAATAAAGTTCACTGATAATAATAATATATTTTAGTTCCTCACCATCGCCATCAATCAAATAACGTAAGATCAAATAATTAACTTTTTGGCAAACGCGATTTATTTGACCGGCAACAGACAATATTAAAAACCGTTTGCGTATAAAAGGAAACTAACCAACCGTTTCTCCATTTCTGGTCTTTTTATACATTTTCTGTTTAAATTATATCAAATATTAAATTGGACTTTCAGATTAAGCTGATTAAGAAGTTGTTGGGTTATCCTCGGTTGAGTTTAGCAAACTCAAAGCGCTGAAATAAATTGATTTAATATTTTAAATGAATACAGCGGAACTGGCAAAGAAACGAGAACATTTTTAACTATTAATAACTCCAGATTAAACTTGAAAATTTGAAAAATGCAATTCGCCCTTAAAGAATACTCACAAAAATGGAAATTTAACTGAAATTATATTCAACATCACAGCCTTTATATTGTTTTATAACAACTACTTGCAAGGCATTCCGAATATTTCATTATAACAATATGAATTTATTTGGAAGGTTTTTTGTACTTGCTGAATTTAATTAAAAAAAATTTCGTATGAGGTTGAATTTTTACGCCTAACATAGGAACGGATTAATGGAAATATTTCTTTTAAACTTTTGGTATATTTAAACTGTCTCATTATTTGTATCTGTTAAAGAAGGACCATGTGATTTTGAGCTTTAGAATACAATCAATTTGCGATTATAATTAAAGACAATTTTAAAATTTTTATTAAACCATTATTTCTGTTTTACATAAAGGTCTCGGGTGGTGTGAATTAATTGAATAAAGGTCTCCGACCTCAGCGCTATTGTAGGGCCAGATTGAGAGATCTTCTTTTTCTGCTGTATTCCTTAGCTGGATTACTGCTCGGGGTCGTATATTGTCTATTTGATATGATCAGCCTGCTTAAGTGGGTAAGTATTTCGATTTACATCAAAAGGACCGTCAATAGTTTTTTGATTTGTCATTCGGTATTAGTAACTCAATTTCATTATCGTTTCGTCCCAAATACTTTTCTACTTGTTATATTTGTGCTTTTCATTGTTTCTCGTTATTGTATGTGCTATATTTTTATTGTTTTTACTGCTGATTTTACCGTTCGCTTGGTCCATAACGCTTGGTTGACTGTTTCTGTGGCAATTAAGCAAATTTTAATTTGATTTGTAATCTCATATTGAGTTGTGAATAAGATGCATATGATTTTCAATAATTGGAGCTTTTCAGTGGAACCAGCGTGAGAAATAAGATTAAATCTATCATCTAAATAGAATATTTCAAATTCCTTCGTTGATCTTTGAGTCACCTCCAGCCTCCGTCCATACGGCCGCAAACTTATTATTCCGTTAGGAAAATATATACTTTATACAGAGAGCAAATCGAGTTTGGACGAAGCCAAATGTCTTCAATTCCTTATTAAGTTTTCAGTTCATAAGCTACTGCATAGTTTGGCAAATGGTGACTGAGGTTTGCATTCGCTATTCCGTTTTAGTAAAACATCTCACTGTTTTGCCTACAGTTTTTAAAATGTCGATATTCTCGCTGAAAAAGTCATACAAAATGCTTCATATTCTTTTGCGTCCTCAGTTGACATTGTATCTTATATGTTCTAAGAACATATTTTTGTTAAAGTAACTTATTTAAATGCTTCTTTTATTACGCGAATATATTTTCGGACAGATTAATTTTGTTTTTCTGATTTCATTTACTTCCTTTGTTGGTTGAATAGTTATAGGGTTATAGTTTCTGTTCTCTTAAATTTCGGCACTATATTTTTACTGACAGATTGAATGATGCTGCGTCTAAATGATTAGTAATTATTATTTTTATAATTTCTGATTTTAGTAGCTGATTTAATGTTTAACTCCGAAGCTCATACTATTTGTCATACGCATTTTTTCCAACATTAAAATTGACGTAATTCTTCAGTAAAAGACGGGCCATTAGCTGATTAGTCTAACTTCTTAAAAAACCGAAGACTTGGATCCTAAATTTCGACGCAACCAAATCAGTTTCATATAATAAAGTATAAACATTCTTCATACAAAATCAATGCTCCAAGAAGATGTTGATTTATAGAAATTGCTGCATCAAACGTGCGATGAGCTTTGTAGACTCATTCCTATTTAAATGGATCTATACGTACAAATTGTGAAAATTGAATGTAAAAAAGCTATACCGTTAGGGAATTGAAAATCCATACAAACATTACATAATTAAAATTATTAATCGGTCAGCGATTTCATTTAGAGCCTATACTGTAGCTACTAGATTACATTAACTACTATCGTTTTTCGCATCTGATCAATACGAGCATGAAATTTAAGCGGCGATCTACATAGAATTCAATTTTAGCATTCAACATTGTATGATGTGAAAACCGTTTTTATTAGTCGCATAAAAATAAATGCAGTTTCTGGCGGTTCCTAACGAACAATCGTAAAAAGTTTTCCACAGCATAACGAGTTGGATGCATGCATTTGAAAATTTGCGAGCTATTTTGAAATCTGAGAAAATATCAGTTAATCAACCAGACACATTCTCAGTGAAAAGTTAAGCGAAACTTTCCAGGCAGCAACAAAGTTTATAATTCGTGATTTAGCTCGAATAATTTGTTTTCATTGAAACTTTATAGCGACAGTCGATGTATTTGATGGCTTTTCGGTCTGGTTTGAAAAAAGCGACGGATTCTATTCAAATTGACCTCCGGTGCAATTTAACTGGCATGCACTGAGTAAGACAAATGTTGCCCTTTTTTTGACTCAATGCTTTTAAGTTGTTATTCTTCTCACTTACAAAGCCTTAAAGTTTGTATGCAAAGAAGCGTGGTGAAAAATCAGTTACTTACCAATAACAGTTAGGTGAATGAAATGACTGAGATGAGGAGTGCAGGAGATTTGGCACTCATAGACTCCTGAGTCCCTGTGTTGAGGATACTTGATTTGTAACGTCCAGTCTTCTGTGTGCGGTTCATGGATGGCTCGAAACCTCTGATCGCTTGTGTAAGTATACGGACCGACAGTCAGCAAATGAACGTCGCGATGTCGTACCCAAGACACCTGTAGAGACATCTGTAATAAGTTAAAATCGCCGTGGCAATTGCAGATATTTTACTTTTTTGGATTATATATTGGGTGTATCGACCTTGCGGTAAAGTAAAATTTCTCATAACTTCAATCATTTCTGAGCTTTTTCCACAAAAACCTTATAACCGATGATGGAAGTTAACGTGCAAAAACACTGTCAGTAATACAGGGTGTCCTTTAAGCTCATAATCAAAAGAATACTGATATATGTATTTTTTCGCTCTAATGAAGACCATATGACCCCAGAAAACTATCTCCGGCTAGTCAGCTATTGATGGTCAAGCTATGGTACGATGTATTTTACTGAAACTCGCTGTGAATCTCTTTCTATGTAGACTCGACTCACGTTTTTATGAAGTAATCGAGTTCATCCGTGCAAGCATGTGAATAATTCTTGAGTGTCTTGGTTCAATCATTTACATCCGATTTGCGTTCATCAGAAATCTCATGAAAAGGCGAAGTGAGTCTTCATCAACTCAAAAAATTGGTTGATTYCAGCCACCAAATAAAAAGTTCTGGAATTTTTTCTACCAAGACRCTCAATTCTTCACTTGCCCAAGGCGGATGAACTCGGTTGCTTCATAAAAACATGAGTCTACATAGAAACAAATTCACAGCTAGTTTTGTAAAAATTCGTGGTACCATACGAATATTTGAAAAAAGATGTGACTAAACAGATTGACTAAAAAGCTTCCAATATTATAGATTTGAAGAGATAAAAATAAGCGCCATTCTTCTGRAAGTGTTGTATGTGTGTTGGGGTAATACARAAAAMAAAAWTCTGTCAAAATATYTTGAAATAATTAAATGAGACACATACAACAATAWGTTTATTTGCACTTTCAATCGTTGTTTTCCTCATTAAAAAATGAGTAAAAATCCTATTGCTTCAATGTGTAAATCAGCACAGCTAATAAGCGAGTACTTTAATGAATGATAATTTTACTTATAGAATCAGACATTCCTAAGAATTTTTGATTAAATTAGAAAAACTCAATGGTTTAAAACATTTTTTAAAGTCGGATTCTTTAATCAACTTTGTTCAACCTTTATTACAATGCGTTCACTTATTACGTCAGTTATGTCGATCTAAATTTATAAAAAAATGTGCAAGCCTGGTCACACTTTTATGACCCATAAGTCAGTTTTCCTTGTCTAGAAGTTATTCCTTTTAAGTTACTGATCACTAACCGAAAGCATTAGTTTTGCCACAGTCCAAAACCGTTTTTTCCGTGGAACATTCTTAAAATATTGTCTTTTGCGTATTTGCACTAAGAAAAGTTTGCGACAGTATTTTTACTCCAGTTTTTTTAGTTTTCTCCAATGGAAAAGTAGATAATTTAATTTTAATATTAAGTTTGTATCTTCATAGAATGATGCAAGGCCTTAATGAACAATTACTTGTGAAAAACTGAAACTTTACGGAGTGAGCGGTAATGCTTTGAATGACTGAGGACATGTCTTCATATCTAAACAACACAATGGAGTTATTCATCATATTAAAAAATAGACAATCCCAAAAATCTAAACTTCGATCAAATCTCACTGGTTTGGGTCCAATAATACTTCGTATATTTATCTGTGATTTATACTCGAAGGTTGATCTTGATCTTGAATCTAACCAATCTGTAATACATTTTTCAAGTGATACTAACTTGATCATACAAGGTAAAGATGCAAATCAATTCCAAACGGATTGAAGAGTGCTTCTTAGTCCTTAATAGTTGATTTAATAGAAACGTCTTAATCATAAATTCTGAAAAAACGAATATTGTTTAAAAAAAACATCTCAATTCGAAGGGATTGAGGTTTTTGCTTGCAATGTTGGCAAACGTAGGCGTATCCTTCATTCAGTGTCGACTGAATCAGTCTGATGTTGTTAATTAAAAGGGAATTAAAGCTTTCAAGCCTATTTTACATTTATCGTTGACGTTCTGTTCAATTTTCCACTTTTCGTTACTATTATTGCCTGATTAAGTTTTTTGGTTCTCTCTGAACTTGCCGCTTCCAATCCCGTCTTTCTCAATGATTTTACTGAGCTACTTCTATTCTGTCGGTTTTGTTTCGTGTTTTTTCGGGTTCTTACTATTCTAGGTTCAATCATTCTTGGTTAAGTTTTCGTGAATATTTGGCACTTAAGCTTTAACACATTTCATAGTACAGACCAAGTATGTTTATCAACGTCTACTTCATGCGATATGTCTCCATCGTTTCCATTTCTTTTTCAATTTAAAGGTTTCTTTATTTCTTACCTTCTTCCAGGGGTTTTCGGCTGCCTGACTTCTTCCGTTGGCACTCCGATACTTTTAACTTTTAGGAACATCGTCGGATTATAGTTAATTATAACCGTGTTATACTCACTATGGATTAGTTCTGTTTACAAGAACGAAAGCTGTTGAATCTCGTCTCTCTGGTTGTTGCTGTTTTTCAAATATACAATTTTATTAAATGCCGTTTGAACAGTTGCTTATTGATTCTGCATGCCAAGATATATCTTATGGTGCTTCTTATGTCAAGGCAGCATTATGCTACCTTCACGGTCAATCCTCGTATTGAAATCATCAATCATTGTCTCTCTTCTTTCATTGTCTGGTAAATAGCATTATTTCTTCAATGTCTTTGCAATCATAAGAACTAATCTCATTTTTTACACGTTGAATTGGTTAGCGATTTTTAATTATTTAGGTGTCAAAACAGTTAAATAGCTCTAAGAATTGAAAGTGAAAATAAAATAGATTTTCGAATTCAATATAATAATTTTATTAAAGAAGAAAACTCCGTATGTCAAACGAATGCTAAAAATTTTCAAAAAAATGTTGTCTTTTCAAGTCAACCTTCGAAGTTGAATAGATTGAATAAAATGCAATTTCAAATACACAGTATTTTCCGCTTTCAAGGAGCTGAAAGAAGCTTCTTGATGGTACAAAATCATCCAAGTTTTGAGCCTTATTGTGACTTGAGTTTTTATAATAGCTTTTCATGTCATTGTATGTATCGTATAATATAAACGTCTATATGTATATTACAAATATGCAACCATGAAGAAGCGAAAACTCTGTATTATTTAATATATAAGGCTTTCTACTTAATATATTCTAATTCTTTTTTACCATAAGATTTTGATATTTAGACTATGATTATGTTCAATTGCCAAGTTTTGTGGCAAAAAAATTTGAGTAATTATTACTTTAAAATTGCTACGTCTTCTGTATAAGTTGAAAACTGTATAAGTTGAAATAAAAACAATGGAAATATGTTTTATATTGTTCAACCACGATCAAAGGCAAAACCTTTACGTGATAAATCCAATAATTCAGATCTTACATACACGAAAAGATGTTTGCGTTTAAAAATATAACGCGAAAAGCAGTTTTGACCCACAGTTTTGTGCACATTTTTTATTGATTGAGCAATAGCTTTTTATCTTTAATGCAATTGAGAAGCTACCAATTTACATGCAAAATAAGAAATACCTGTCGTTGCTACCTTTGTAATTTAGATGTAGTAGTTTGTCTATTTCCAATTATCTAGCAAAATGACAAGTTAACCATAAGTTATTTGAAAGCACTCTAGCAATAATAGGAAGAACTTTTTAGCAACTAATTTCAATGTTGGCAAATGTTATAAAAGCCAACCGAATGACTTTTCTTTAAATACATTGTGCTGTTTTAAATCGCTAATTTAGAGATATTGTTGCGCCGTTTATTGCAATGTAGCTGGTAGCTAACGCACTTTTGTTATCAAAGAAGCCACGAGAGCCCGTTAGAGGTTTCGTTACCGCATGTAGTTGTGGGTCAAAGGTGAATGGGTATAACCGGTGAAAGCGTTCAGCATAAGGTAAAAGCTTTCTCTATTGTGCCGAAAGTTTTAACGGGAAAACATTCTGTCAAGAGCAACCGAATGTTTTTAACAAGTTTACTGCTGGCTCAGGTAATTCACCGAGAATATGACCCCCGGCTTATTCGCAAACTTGATTTTCACTCAAAACGTTTCCATTGTATCTATTGTTTTGCTCAAACTCTTTATCCACTCCAATGGCGGGCCAACAATGACTCCGAAACTTAATATATTTACCCGATGTTGGAGGTCTTTTGAGTTGAAAAGGTGTGGCATTTCGGGATCGTTACTTTTTCAGCGGATCACGATTTGTTGTTCTTACGCAGCCAACTTAAAAAGACCACGTTACTTAGATCTGTTAAATACACAAATTCATTGTAGGGAGCTGACGTGCAAAACTAATTGGCTTTTAAATGAATAACACATTATAAATTAAAACTGTTAAAACTGTTGATAAATAATAAAAAGCTGCCCTAGAAGCTGTTGGAACAGACACAAAGGCCGAGATACAAGAGGATTATTATAGGAAGATTACACGTATATGAAACATATATATTTGTGGCATAAGTTTGAATATATTTATTGAAAAATGAAGTACACATCATAAGGTTATGAACGGAATAAGACATCGAACAATTGAGCGCCTCGGCTTTGCAGGCACAGACGTGCTCTTTCATGAAATTTTCAAGGACTGTTGGGCATAAATTTTGCGGAATTTCAGAGATGCAGCTTTGAATTTCATCTTTTAAGGCTTCAATCGCTGTTGGTTTGTTCACATAAACTTGTGACTTTAAAAAACCCCAAAGGAAAAAGTCCAAAGGCGTTAAATCTCATGATATGGGCGGCCAATGCTGATCTCCAAAACAAGAAGTAACACGACCACGAAATGACTTGTGAAGAACAGCGAGGGCCTAGATCTGGACATTCATGTACAGACGGAGTGTTTGTTATTAGACAGATAACCGAAAAGTCTATAGAGCATAATAAACCAGCATTCTTCTGTTTCATAGATCTGGAAAAGGCATTCGACCCGATAGGTTTGGAAGATATAGTGCATGTCCTCTATGACAGATGAATATCGAGTAATATCATCAGAGCTATTGAAGATATTTACCGAAATAACCGAATACGGACAAAGATATAAAACG